TGGGGAAGGGGTTACCAAGTCAACTTTAATTACCTAAAGCAGTTTTTTCTGATACTATGTTAAGAATGTATCCATTGGGGATAATATGTGGAAAAGTTAATATACCTCAGTAAAGCTGTTCAGAAATTACGTAGGGGGTCTTATCAATCGTGTTCTTTTTGCTGTAACTAGAAGTTTTGAAACCAAGCTGAATATTCATACCTTGATATGGTTTCTACAACCTGTGTAGACATGTCATTGTCCTCCTCACGTATTTGTTTTCATGCCAGGTTCTTCCCTACTTGGTTAATAACGCTGACAACCTCCTACCACCACCAGTGGAGTAAAATGGCATTTTCTCCTTGACCCTTTCAGGCTCACTTTAGATGGGTCCCTAGATGGTTCTTAGTCATGGCTCCGATACAGATTTGATGAGAAGCGTGTCTCTGTAGTCCTTCGTGGTCCTCGGGCATCTCCTTAGGCCTGTCTCCAAACTAACTTCCTTTGTGAGTCTAGAGAGTTGGTTCTGCACTTGGGCTGGCAGAAATTCAGTTGTCAAAGACTGCAATGCTTAAAAATTTGGCAGCTTCGAACAAGCAAAGTGGCAAAATCCAAAGTAGCGCCTGACAATGAGCTTTTAACTTCAAAAAATAATCTCGAAAAAGTGGGAACTTTATCAAAAAGAGTAAAATAAAAATTTGTAAAAATAGTAACCAACTTATCAGTTATTTTAGTAATGCCTAACTGGTTGGTGTCATGTCCCGTGCTTGCTCTGCAGAAACAGGTGCATGCCTTTGATGAAAGTGAGCCTGAATGAGGCTCTTGTGGAGCTGTCTGCAGGTCCTCCTGGAGTTCGGAAGATCTGCAGCCTCCCCTTCACCCAGAGCCCAGGGTTTGAGTCATTTTCAGGTCTAGCAACATAAATTCTTCAGAGCATCAGAAGTTACTCTTTTATGCTCCAAAACCGTCCGTTCATTTGGTGTGCCCTTCAGGGACAGAGGAGAAATAAATCATTACAATATTGTGTGATAAGTGCTAAGAGTATGTTACATACGTGCTCAAGACGGTTAAAGTCATCACGGAGAGTTGCGTGGGGAAGGGAACCGAGTCAAGTAGGAGGGAAGGAAGATGTGTTCTGGTCAAAAAGCGCACGTGGAAGGTCCTACCGCAGGCCTAGCGGTGGGGGGGCATGCTCCCTGTGCTAGAGAACATGGAAACGGGGGGTCCACGAGCCGATGGAGAACAGACAGGTGACAGGAATCCCCAGAAGCCACTGGCTGAGCGGGCTGGCCTTCAGCAGGAGGAGGGGAGAAACACCTGTTTTCTGAGAAGTTACAGACACGGTGTGACTGAAGACGGCTCTGCAGGGAGCAGGAACGGGAAGAGCCGGAAAGCCAGACCCCTCGCTGGCCTCAGTGATCTCACTTAAATGGGAGGGAGGGGCGAATGGGCTTGACTGCGTGGCACCCGAGAGCATGTGCCAGATGCGGGCTGGGGACCGAGAAAATGTGAGGAAACGCTGCCCAGAAATCAGAGAGTGGTACCGAGCACCCGTTCAAGGCCAAAGACCATTGATTTATAACAACAGTCTGGGTAGCTGTTTGATTTTTCTCTAGCATTTCTTAGCAGTGTCAGTATAGAAATGAAGGGAACACTTTTTTAACATTGATTCAAGGTGGCAATTTGATGAGATAAAATTATGTGTGTGTTTCATGATGGGAAAGGTGCTCATGTGTACTTCACATGATCCGCTCAGAGTTCAAGCTCGTTAGGGAAGGAGGAAAAGAAACCAGAAATTGGCCCATCAAAAGATGCTCAACATCAATCCTCATCAGGGAAATATAAATTAAAACCAGGATGAGGGGCACCTGGGTGGCTCAGTCGTTAAGCGTCTGCCTTCAGCTCAGGTCATGGTCCCCAGGGTCCTGGGATCGAGCCCCACGTCGGGCTCCCTGCTCGGCGGGAGGCCTGCTTCTCTCTCTCCCTCTGCCGCTGCCCCTGCTCGTGCCCACACTTGCATGTGCGCGCGCTCTCTCTCTCAAATAAATAAAATCTAAAAAAAAAAAACCCTACAATGAGATACCACCTCACACCAGTCAGAATGGCTCAAATCAGCAGGAAACAGATGTTGTGAGGATGCGGAGAAAGGGGAACCCTCGTGCACTGTTGGTGGGAACGCAAACTGGTGCAGCCACTCTGGAAAACAGTATGGAGGTTCTTTAAAAAGTTGAAAATAGGGCGCCTGGGTGGCTCAGTTGGTTAAGCGACTGCCTTCGGCTCAGGTCATGATCCTGGAGTCCCGGGATCGAGTCCCACATCGGGCTCCCTGCTCAGCGGGGAGCCTGCTTCTTCCTCTGACCCTCCCCCCTCTCATGCTCTCTCTCTCATTCTCTCTCTCAAATAAATAAATAAAATCTTTAAAAAAAAAAATAAAAAAATAAAAAGTTGAAAATAGAGCTACCCTACGAGCCAGCAGTTGCACCTCTGGGTATTTATCTGAAGAAAACAAAAACCACTAATTCAAAAGAAAAAACAAAGAAAACACTAATTCAAAAAGATACATGCACCCCTCTATTCACTGCAGCATTGTCTACAGTAACCAAGAAGTGGAGACACCGTGTCCATTCCCCTGTCAGTCACTCACCAGCTTAAGTGTCCATCGAGAGTTGAATGGATACACATGTGTATGGATGTGTGTATCTTGCCATTTGTGACAACGTGCATGAACCTACAGGGCATTATGCTAAGTAAGATAAGTCGGAAAGACAAATACCATGTGATTTCACTCATAAGCAGAACCTAAAAAACAAAAAAGCTTCTAAATAGGACAGATTGGTGGTTGCCAGGGGTGTGCGGGAAGGGGGTCAAAAGGTTCAAACCTCCAAGTTACAAAATAAATAAGTCATGGTGATGTAACATACAGCATGGTGACTGTAATTAATAATTAATTATTAGCTATAGTTAATACTGCATAATAAATGCATATTTAAAAGTTGCTGAGAGAATGAATCTTGAAAGTCCTCATTCTAAGAAGTATTTGTAACTGTGTTGATGGGTGGTAGCTAGACAGATGGTTGTGGTCACTTCACAGTGTGTACTAATATGAGTCATTCTGTTATACTTGAAACTAACACAGTCTTGTATGTCACGTACACCTCAACGTATTTAAAATTTTTTTAAAAGATTTTATTTATTTGAGAGAGAGGACACAAGCAGGGGTTGGGGCAGGGTCAGAGGGAGAAGCAGACTCCCCGTGGAGCAGGGAGCCTGACGTGGGGCTCGCTCCCAGGACCCCGGGATCATGACCCGAGCTGAAGGCAGACTCTTCACTGACTGAGCCACCCAGGCGCCCCTCAATTTTTTTAATGGAAAAAAAAAGCCAATCGACTGGAATAGGAGAGAGAAGGAAGTAGAGTCCCTGAGGTTGGAGGGAGGAAGAGTGGGTCTGCGGTCATGCGGGAGCTGGGCCGGAGGAGACAGTGTCCCAGGAAGTGAGATGAACGCGTGCATGGTTTTGGCGGAGCAAGCACGAGCATTCCGAGTGCTGCCGAGGTGGGGTCCGTGGTGTTGCCGGCAGCATTCAGTGGTCGGTGGCTGTGCGGGCGTGGTGCCGGGGTGGTGAGGGTGGGGGACTACGCACGCAGGCGCAGCGACGTGACCAGTGGTCTTCATCCCAGATGGGACTGCAGCCGGAAGCCACCTGGTCTTGTGTGGGGGGTTCAGATGGTGGAGGTGAAGGTCGCTAGGACCCCGAAGGTGGAGGAGCTGTCATGTTGAGTGAACCATTCACCCAGCAATTAGTGTGTAGATAACTAAGGTACCAGCATGTCTTAGAACTACTGTAATATTGAAATGGTAATGAGCATAAGTGGTATTTTAAGATATTTGCAACTACAGTAGGATGTGAAAATGCTGTCCACTAATGAACAGTCCGAGGTACAGCAAATACGACCGTTTATTGGCTATATTTGTGTTTGAAGAGAATGCTGAATTTCAGGTTAGAAGTGCGTGAAAATGAAGGTGAATCTTCACCCAAGTTCACCTCTGGGTTCTGCCATGATCCTCCGGTTAAGAAGCCCCGTGTAAAGGACGGTGAATTCAGCGGGCAGAACCCTGAGTAAAAAGCAGTGGTTTCTGCACAGGGCGGAATTCATGGTGTAGGGGTGAGGGTGCAGAGCTCAGACCGTTTCCCCGGTGGGTGTGCCTCCGTGAGCAGCCGGTAGTGTTCTTTGCGGTAAAAAGCCACCATTTCAAGTCAAACCAGAAAGGCCAAGGGAGAGGGAGCCTGTGCTCCCACAGGCAGAAGGGTCATGGGAGCGCGAGAGGCCCGGGCGGAGGAGGTGGTGAGAACGGACGGAGCAGCGACGACGGTGTCAGGACAGTTGGAGGGAGGTGAGCCGGCTTCGAGGTCCTGGACTCTCTGGAGGCTGAGGCGGGCCCTCTGGACGCATTTGGGTGATAGCGACCCCCCAGTCTTGGCCGGCGGTCCAGGTGGAGTCCTGCTGGGAGACTGTCGGGTGGCTCTGAGCACAGCTCGAGATGGTGGGTCGTGAGGTCGGGGGGGACGCTTGAGAGCAGGGGTGCGGCGGCGGGGGCACCGGGGGCCCACAGTCACCGTCCAGGGCTGTTTCTCCGACTTGGCTCCGGCACGGACAGAGTCAGATGAGGGTCGGTGAGTAGAAATGAACTATGAGAAGCACGCTTTTCTGAAAGACCACACTTGCCATCCTGCCCCATAGGACGGGTTTGGGAGGGTCTGCCAACGTAAGAGAACTAATAAAATGAAATTAGGTAATCCAGCAAATCCAGTCTGGGCTTCCTAAGACTAGATAAACTTTGAGTTTAAGTAACTTAATTGTGGAAGAACTTGGTCTTTCTGACCAGGTAGCTTGTTAGCTTTGAGTAGGTGTTTAACACCTGAACTCTGCATACTTGGCACTGTCAGGTGCATTTTATTTCTGTAAATCAAGCAGTGAATTTGTTATCAGTAGACTGATTCTGTTTGTGTTGGTTTTTTCTAGGAATTAGCTCTTCGTAGCCAGTTACCGACACTGGAGCAGGATGGTGGGACTCCAAACCCCGTGCCTTCCCCTGGGATGTCTCAGGAACTGAGAACAATGACCACCAGTGGCTCGGACCCCTTTCTGAACAGGTGGGTGGGAGCTGCCCCTGGGCGGCGTCTGAGAAAGGCTGTGGCTTTCCCGTGAGCCCCCGCAGTGCCTGGCACAGCCTTGGGGGCCACACACCGGGCTGTAAGTGACCTTCTCCACGAATGGCGAGTACCGCGGGGCTCCCGGGGGAGGACACGTTCCTGGTCACGTGTCTGCTTCTGTCTGCACTGTCGACAATCCGTGATTTCACGTGGCAGAGTCGTGAAGGATCACGTGGGTGCCTTCGGTGACAGCGTCGTCCTCAAGCTCACTGAGGCCGGTGTCTGCGGGGCCCCCACCCCCCGGGAGGAGCTTGCCACGGGGCGTGGGACCTGTGTCTCCCCGCAGCGGCTCCTGAGGGCTGTAGCTCAAGGACATGAAATAGAAGGTTGTGCCTCCTTCACACACATGCATGTGCACACACACGCCCACACACACACACACCGCCATCACAGGCAGGGTTGGCTTAAAGATGCTTTTCAGTGAGTGCACACAGGCCTCACCTTCACGTACGGAGCTGTGTTGAGCGCTGCAAGCCGACAGGTCTTTGCCTGAAAAGCACTTAAAACTAAGGTCTGATGACAGTTTGTCCTTTTAGGCTGTGAAATATTGATGGGGTTTCAGTTTTAAGAAATATGGAACAAATACTTTTCTTGTCTTTGTACTTTTGGTTTTTGGGTTTTTTAAACCAGTTTTAAACAATGCACTTTTAGGGGCACCTGGGTGGCTCAGTCGTTAAGCGTCTGCCTTCAGCTCAGGTCATGATCTCGGGGTCCTGAGATCGAGCCCCACATTGGGCTCCCTGCTCGGCAGGAAGCCTTGCTTCTTCCTCTGCCCCTCCCCCTGCTTGTGTTCCCTCTCTCGCTGTCTTGCTCTCTGTCAAATAAATAAATAGTCTTTAAAAAAATAAATAATGCACTTTTAAAAACATTTAAAGGTACTTTGGTTTAAGAAAGCTATTATACTACGCTTTCATTTCTCACCAGATAAATTGAAAACTTCACAATCTTAGAAAAACAAAATTTCTCTTATCCTACCAAAACATTTAGTACAATAGAATTTCCATCGTTTGAGCAGTCTTTTTTTTTTTT